GTCATAGGCCTTCTTTCCCAAAACTTGGAAGGAGAGGCAGAAGCTTGCTTTCTGGGAGTTATTTTGTGAAACCAACACATAACGCATCAGGGCAGAGATACGCAAATCATCTTTAAAGGTGTAGGATGTATGCTGGGCTGATCACATACGTTTTATCTAAGGACAAAGTGAAAGTGAAGTCACTCAGTTGTGTCCGACTCTTTGTGACCCCGTGGACCCACCAGGCTCCTCTGTCCATGAGATTCTCCAGGCAAGAATACTGGAGTGCGTTGCCATTTCCTTCTCCAGGGGATCTTCCCGACCCAGCGATCGAACCCAGGTCTCCCACATTGCAGGCAGACGCTATAACCTCTGAGCCTAAGACCCTTCTAATTTGGAGATGGACACAATTAAACCATCTCAGCCTAAAGGCAATAACCAAACTGTGTACTTTCTTTCATTCCAACTCTTTCCTCACCAAACACCATTCTGATTAGAACTTGAGTGTCTCTATGGAATTGCCTACAAAGAGAACATAAACTGGCACTCAGAATTTGAAGATGGATGAATAAATTTGCTTTATATATCAGGCTAGGAAATTTGTTTAATGTTCACCTGCCCCTCTGTAATGGATACTGTCTTAGTACACTGAGAAAATTTAGTGTCCATATCTGAAAGCCTGAAGACCGTCGTAAAAAGGAGCCAGGCTACTGGCTGCCCTTCCAAACTAAGTGCTACATTCTCCATGTTGCTATGATGAAATGACTGTTTCCCTCCCCCAACCCCAATTCTGTTCTTCACTTAATATTCTCTTGTATGCATTTCTATATATGTTGCAGTATAATTTTTAGATATATTACTAACTGTAAGATGTTACATTTTGTATTACCATCTAACCATTCCTCCATTGTTGAATAGAGGCCATTTTCAGTGTTTTGTCTGCTAAATGATTCTGCTATCAAAATCTTCCTCCAAATAGATTTTTCTTCTTTTCTATTTTTTCTTTAGAAGTTCTCAAAATGATATTATTGGCTTATAGGGTTGGTCAAACTGAACGAGTTCATCTTATCTCCAATGATGTGTTTTTTTTCTTATAGTCATACTCCTTTGGTTTCTATTATTATAATATTTGATGAGTGATTTCCTTCAAACATATAAGGAAGGAATATTAACAATCCTACACAAATTCTTTCATAAAATATAGAAGGAAGAAACAATTTCCAAATCATATTATGAGGCCACTATAGCCTGATACCAGAACTAGACAAGAACATTTCAAGGAAAGAAAATGACAGATGGATATCCTTCATAAACTAGATGCAAAAATCTCTAGCAATTTAAATCTAGCAATATAATGTCATAAAAAGAGTGATATACTGTTATTGATATATTAATATATTAATTTTTAGACATTATCTACAGACTATTCTGATAGATAAGGATTTAGTTTTCCTATTCCATTATTTCCTCTGCTTCCTCCAAACAGTTACATTAAAATTTCATTAATTCAGAATTCACTGTTCCTTTTATTATGCCTATGGAAATATTATAGTTGAGCATTTTACGATACTGGAGTTTCTTTTTATACTTTTTTCTGCAAATTAATATTTGCCTTATTTTTAAAATTTACTTAGTAGTCTTTAACTCTATTGCTAACTTTCCCCACTCTTTTTAATAGTCTCTTAGTATACTTTTCCACAGGATAATCGTATCAGGTAATCTATTCCTTTTCTCCCTCCTGGTAATGTCCTGCCTTTAGATCCCCATTCTCCATCTGTCTGGCTTGTTCTCCAAGCCTGCTGACCAGCTGTCCCCCTGGGACTTCCCCTTGCTGTCATCCTTGGAATTCCCCTCTTGGAATTTCTCTAGGGTTGGATTCACTGCTTCCTGGATGTCTTGTCTTCCTTAATCTGGCTTTGCTTGCTTATCGTGACCAAGCATCTTTATCTTTAGTTGGTTAAAAATGGTTCAGTCAAACAGAAATCTAGACCACAGACGTTTCTAATGACACCCCCTCACTGCTCCTCGGAGCCAAACTCTTGGGAAGCTTTTATGTTCCTGGGGGTGAAACAGAGTCCCCAAAGCAGGCAGGAGGAAAGCCATATGGAGGACCCATGGGTACACTTCTCCTTCCCCTGTTCCCACTAGTGGAAGATGGATTCACTCCACCCTCTCTGGAGGGAGAGCCTCTGCTGAGCTGGACCGCAGCCCAGTGGGCTCCAGAGGAGCAGATGTCACTCTCATCTGCTGTCAACATGTCTTGTCTTGTACTTTTATCTTCCCAAAGATACTGTAAGCTGCCTGAGGGTGAGAGGATGGCTTATATTTCAATTGATCTTCAGTGTAGTTCTAGTTGGATTTTAGAAGAGAGTGAAAATAGATGAGTGTGTTCTGTCCACCATCTTAACCCAGAAGTCCTTTGAAACACTTTTTTCAGTTGGCTTCAGGGACACTTCTCCTGAGTGTCATCTTACTTCACTTGAGGACCAACCCCAGTCTTGCTGGGTCCCCCTCCTTTTTCTGATCTCTACATGTTGAGGGCCTCCGGGCTTGACCTCTTCTTTTTTCCAGATTCACTCCTTAAGTGGCTTCATCCAGTTCTAGAGCTCAAATTCCATCACTATGCTTATGCTTCCCAAATTTATATTTCCCTTCTGAATTCAGATCTCCCTTCCCAGAGTCTCCCCGTGTATGGCTAAGAAGCATCTCACCCAACTTCTCTTCCCTCCCTGAAACCAGCCCCTCCCCTAGCGTTCTCCCCAGTAAGTGTGTTAGTCACTCAGTCATGTCTGACTCTTTGCAAGCCTATGCATGGACTGTAGCCCACTAGGCTCCTCGGTCCATGGGATTACCCAGGCAAGAATACTGGAGTGGGTTGCCCTTCTCTTCTCCAGGAGATCTTCCTGAACCAGGGATTGAACCCTGGTCTACTGCAATGCAGGCAGATTCTTTATTGTCTGAGCTACCAGGGAAGGGCCCCACTATAAACCTTATCCGACAGTGAATAACTTGACTCCTATCATCGTCATATAAAAGGGGTCTTAGAGATCAGATAAAACGCATGGAAAAATCAGGAAATGAAGTGAGTAGCTGACCCAAGATGATACAAAGTTTTTACGTTTGAAAATTGTGTAAGAAGGTGCTTAGTGTTAGAGGAGCACCAATGACACAGTATTATAATTTACTTTTAAATGCTCTTGTTTGCATAATTTCTTTTGGGAAATGTTCTTAGAGACTAGATGCCTGGTTCTGAATCACCGTATATGAATACTTTATTACATAATCAAAATATATTCTGGGTTTTTTTTTTTCTGGACAAAAAATGGAGGCTTGAGGAAAGCACATCCCCAGAAATGTCCTCTTCTTAGTTGTGTTTTTCTAGGCCTTTCTTTCTAGACAGGTGAGATTTTTCTGGCATCTCTACCTTTGTGTCATTAGAATAAGGAAGAGAAATTGGAGAAAAGCTACTTCAGCCCAGGAATGTCCCAGATCTTCTTCCTGGAAGTGGTGGCCTCTTTGTTTCCTCCACATTGTCCCACTGTGGCAGCATCCTCTTATCTGCCTGAAAGGATTTCCTGAACATCTGGCCTGTGACAACAGTGGCCTCATACCCCCTCCCAGAGGCTGGAAGTGACTTTTTTGGGTCACCTTGACAAGAGTACTCAAGAGTTTCCTCCCTAGTATACATATTAGTTCTGGCTGAGGATCACAACAACATTGTTCAATGTTTGATTTGTAAAAACAGTAAGTCTAACTGGTAGGCCAGGGTCTCTGAAAAATAAATGTACTCTCTCAGTGGTTCATTTTGCTAAGTCGCTTCAGTCGTGTCGGACTCTTTGTGACCCTGTGGACTGTAGCCCACTGGTTCCTCTATGCATGGGATTCTCCAGGCAGGAATACTGGAGTGGGTTGCCATGTTCTCCTCCAGGGGATCTTCCCCACCCAGGGATCGAACCCATGTCTCTTATGTCTCCTGCATTGGCAGGCGAGTTCTTTACCATTCATTTTAGCATTCATTTTACTCATTGCCTAATATGTAAAAAAAAATACTCTCAGGGGATTTCCCTAGCAGTCCAGTGGCTAAGACTCCATGCTTCCAGTGCATGGGGTCCAGGTTTGATCCCTAGTCAGGGAAGTAGATCCCACATTCTGCAGCTAAAGATCCTGTATGCTGCAACTAATACCCAGGGCAACCAATAAAATAAGTAAACGTTTTTAAGAAGTGCGCTCAAAGGAGGTCCTGTTTCCTGATTTGCGCAAAGGACCTGGTGGGCTACTGGTTGCCCTGGTTTTGTAAACCGAGTCAGGGAGGAAGTGCTAGGAACAGTGGAATAAAGTTTAGATGCTGTGATAGAGGACAGGGCAGGAAGACGTAAGCAGGATGCAACAGGCTACCAGAGAGGAGCCGTGTGAGGAAAGAACCAAGCTGCCCATTTGGGCAAATGCACATGGGTCGGCTATTCTGACCTTCTGTTGCATGGTTTGCAATGTAAACCTCTTCTTTACCTTCAATAAAACCTTCATTACCTTAAAAAAAAAGTGCTTCCACAGGAATCTGAAAAAAACCCCAGGCCCACCTGTGAAAGATGAGTTCTACTTCAAGGCCATCGGTTGGGGCAACTTGAAAAAATAGACAGCATCTTTTATGCTTGATATTCACTAACTTGCCATCAACAGAAAGCTCCTTATAGTAATGGAACCCCAGTTACCAGGCAGGTTCCCAGTCACAGATGTTCGAGGTAGGTAGTCTTCAGTACTTGTACTTTCAGTACTTGAAATCCTGCTGGGTCTTCATGGTCCTTTCCTGGAGGCGTAGATGTTATGTTCTTGCACCTTGCCATCCCTGAAATTCAGCAGTGTTTTCATCACAGGTTTTCTACACTCAGGACCTTAGATGACTATATGTGTCACCTTGGATTTTCCACTACTTAAGCATGTCTTGGTTTACTTTCTTCTTTTTTGAGCTGAATTCCATCGAAACACTAAAGAATGTGTCTGTGCTGCTTTTTTTTTTTTTTTAGGGTACCAGAACATCTCGTGAAGAGCATAACTTGGCAGACACTGCAAGCTGTAAATTTTTGCCATAAACACTGTGTAAGTCTCATGATCCCCGTCTAAAAATCAGACGGCCTCCCTTCACCTGAGGTGGAACCTTTGTACAGAGTTTATATCATACTTTTGTGGATAGGCTTTTCCACCCAAGTCTTTATAAGCCTGTTTGGGGGGTACATAGAAGCTAAAAATGCCAACCTAAGCTATTCCTTCTTGTTCAGGTTTTAAAGATGTATGTTTATGATTTTAAGAAAGTAGTTTTGTTTGTGTTGCTTAGAAACTACCCAGATTTAAGGTAGATTCCTTCTCACTTGGAGTCCGTGTTGCTCTGGTACCCTCAAAATACTGTGAAACTGGGGCGGGGAACCCCAGGTGGCTCATGCCTCTTGCATGCATTACGTGGAGTCCCAAGTGTGATGCACACCTGCTCGTGTCTGCATAGGTGAGTTAGGAGTGCCAGGGCTGCAACGAAGCAGCCAGTGGAAACCTTGTGAGCACTCTCAGCCACAGCAAGCGGCGGGAGGTGGACTGCTGCCCAGGTGGTGTGACTTCACAGATACTGGGGAACCTGCTGCTCCCTTGGATTCAACACAGCCCACTCCCTGCATGCAGGAAGCCAGACTCCAATATCAGAGCTTCATTTTGGTCCCAAGAGCAGTTCACTGCATTTTGTCATCCTGACAACGGCCAGGGTCAATTTCACTGGTAGGGCTGAAATGCCTTCCTCGAGTTGTTCTATTTTTTTTTTTTTTGCCCTGAAACTGACTTCCCAGAAGGAAATATGAGAGTAGGCAGCACTTCTCCCAGCTGAGCCTCCACCTAGCTGAAGGCTACAATCTGTGTCCAAATGTGTGCACACCAGAGAGTGTGGATGCCTTATACATACTGCTCTTCACTCGCGTGAGGGCCAGCAGTTTCCTGATGGCAGGTTTTAGAAGTGGGGTGCGGGAGTTGGGGGAGCGAGAGAGACGGCAGAAAGGCCCTGGTGGGGAAAAGCAGAGACACTGAGAACAAATATAATGCATACCACAGCTCCCTGGAGAGCCCCTGAAATTGTTTGGCCACATGTGCTTGTGGGGAGGGCTGTAGAAACTTGTAAAGAATTCCCAGAACAGAATAGGAGCACATTCTTGCTTACAAGTACTTCTGACCATCTGTCATCACGATATTCAAGGGTGTACCCATTTATAGTAATATTTGAAGCCATGGGTAAAAAAGTGGAGATCTCAGGGCCATTAATTGCTGAGAACCAGATCTGTTGTAACAAAATAATTAAAAAATTGTCTCCCCCCAATTTTTCCAGAATAATAAATACCCCTGGGGAAACACTGACACCCGGGTCTCACCCTGAAGATCCTTTGGAGTGAGAACTAGGCCAGGCATGAGAGGAACCTCTGTCCTAGCTCCAAATTTTAGAAAGTCAAGAACACCCCAGGGATTCAGCTCTAAGCCAGAGAGGGTCTCTCAGATTGCAGAAGCCTCCAACATTCTCCTCCAGAAAGGAAAATACGTGGAAGGGAAAGTTATTAGGAACCTGAGCAGTATTTTGACCCCACTGTTGTTTTTATGTAATTGCTAATTGGTTGTTTTTTTATTGTTGTTGAAGATTTGTTCCTTACCAAAAAAAGCACTATTTAATAGGAAAATCATGTGAAGGTTCTTAAGCATTCTTCTAACATCACCCTGTTAAACAATGTCAGCTGTGGTCTGCAAACCACAGGTGATTTGTGTCTAAACCCTGGCGGTGGCGTGGGGGCTACATCCGGTGGGCTGGAGGGGCAGTAAGGAGGCTGAATGTGTGTGGGATGGAGCTGACATCTAGTGACTCCCCAGAGGGTGTGCGCTGCCTGCGTTTGTTTATCTTGTGGGGACAAATGTCAGAGCTGGAAGGGAGGTCTCTTGGCAAGCTGCTGTTTCCCGCCCATCTCTTCCTCAGCTTATCTCAGCAGGCCCAGGGCTTGTCCTGTTTACCAGGCAGAATGTGGTCTGTTCTCAGTTAAACAACTGGATTATGAATTCTGCTTAGGCACCAACTTGCAGCTCCTGCAGCCATGCTGCGGTCCTCACCCAGAGCCTTTTAACATTTTCTCTATCACCTAATGTAACTAGATTAAATACAGCCAGTTAAATTTGAATTTCAGGTGAACAGTCATAAATACTTCAGTATAAATATGTTCCAAACACTACATGGGATGTACTGCTACTAAAAAAATTATTTGTTGTTTATCTGGCTACCCGACTTTCATTTTTCTTTTCACATTTGTTGGTCCTTTAGGGCCCTTCAGGAATTGGGGTTGACTACTGTTTTGTAGTCTGTTATCTAAAAGGTCAGTGAGAGGTTCAAACAGCCTCAGATATTTGCTGGATATTCATGTATTTTATTTAGTCCATATATTAGTGTTCTCCTGTTTAATCTGCTCGGGTTTGATGTTTGTGACTAGTGCATACACAGGGACGTGAAGCCGGAAAACATCCTCATCACGAAACAGTCTGTGATTAAGCTTTGTGACTTTGGATTCGCTCGACTTTTGAGTGAGTATCAAACTGTTCTTTAGTTAAGTGTCAAAGCTAGGAAGATTTTTAATATGATAAAGATCTAAGTGCTATAGGAGGCTAGTTCTTGTATATTCAGGGCATAAGCTTGCTATAAATTACAAGTCTACAATTACTGAAAACACACATACAGTGGTTTAAAAATGTATATGCTATATGTAAATGTTATCACAATAAAGGGCTTACTGATATGTATATTACCCTCCTAGTTTCTACCATTTTTTGCTAAAATAGTGCTTTTTAAAACTACTATTTTAGAAGAGTGGTTTTCAATGTTGGCGGTATATTAGAATCATCTGGGAAGCTATAAACTCTAAAAACCATGCTGATACCCCTCTAGGGATTCTGGTTTAATTGGACCGGTGTGGGGCTCAAACATCAGTAATTTGTAGAAAGGACTATATTCCAGGTGGTTTTCATGCGTAACCAGTATTGCGAAGCACTGAGTTAGAAAAACCACAGGTGGGGCACAAGCTTGATTTCTCAGGCCTTCCCCCTCCTGGTTCTGATTCCCTGCTTGCGCTGTGCCCTCTATTTTCCATGTCCCATCACTGGCCAGCTGGACCGAGCGACTACTACACAGACTACGTGGCCACCCGCTGGTACCGCTCCCCAGAGCTGTTGGTGGGGGACACGCAATACGGCCCCCCAGTGGATGTTTGGGCGATTGGCTGTGTCTTTGCTGAGCTGCTGTCAGGGGTTCCTCTGTGGCCAGGAAAATCAGATGTGGATCAGCTCTATCTGATTAGGAAAACCTTGGGTAAGTGCTGGGTTTTGTCCCATCTTTTGGAAGCCAGATAGTTTTACCCATGTCAGGGCAGAGCCAAGTTCTTAGTCTCATCCAGTGCCCGTTACGGTCACGAAAGAAGGAAACTCTCAGAGTCTCACTGTAATGGCTCCATGAACGGTGTCCTTTGCAGGTATAGGCCCTGACTGATACAGCACCAATGCAAGGAAGCCATAGAGCAGTGCTTGCTAACTGATCTAATTTTTTTGAGTGGATGAAAAAACACTGTTTTTCTATTTTTTGTTTTCAAAAAATTTTTATTGAAGTATAATTGACTTACAATATTGTGTTAGTTTCAGAAGACTATACCCAGTGTTTTGTAATATATATATATAACTGATCTAATTTTACCTTTCTCTTTCTTCTTGTCCAAAGGAGACCTCATTCCTAGGCACCAACATGTATTTAGCACAAATCAGTACTTCAGTGGGGTAAAAATTCCAGACCCTGAAGATATGGTGAGTGACCTATTTTGGTAAGAGTCCTGCAGGTCAGAGCTACGTTTACCAGGGTATTTAAGTGGTGTTCATTCTCACTCAATGAATATACATGAGGAGTTGCAGTCTAACTAGGTTTTGATAGTTCAGCACCTGCCTGAGCTCCATGGTCCTCTTGGCACCAGAAGATCAGTCTAAGAGTGGAAAAGAAAACTGGGGCAAATTCGCTACAAGACCCTGGCCTTCAGTGCTAATTTACAGACAGCTAATAGCAGAGCATAGCCATCATGTTGGACAGGATTGCGGAGCTGCCTGCCCCAAACTCACCTGTCCATCATTTTCAGCAGTTGAAGCTACAAAGCTCAGAGCTGATCAGCTTGTAGGTGATGACTCCTCCAGGAAAATCCAGCATGGTCCAAACCTCTACTCTACTGCGCGCTCAGTTCCAGACCGTGGGGGAAAATGGTGATGAGCTTGCTTGGCCAGCCTCACTCTGATACCTGTTCTTTTGGCTAATGTGGAGAAAACACTTATTTTTCAAAAACTGAAAAAATTTAAAATGTGCATAGTTTAAACCACTTTCAAGAATTTAGTCCAGTGAAACTATTAGACAAGAGTATAAAGATACAACAAACATTCTTTAATGGAAATATGACATTCTTTAACAGAAATCATTTCCTTTAGTGTTCCATCAGTAGAGAATTAATTAAATAGGTTATGGTATGTCCTTACAATAGAAATACCACATAGCCAATAAAAATAATTAGATTCATATGTAATCACCTGATAAAAAAAGGTCCGTAACATATTACTAAATGAAAAGAAGTTATAAAACCGTATACATAATTTTACATAATTTTAATAAATTTAAATAAATATGCATGTTTACATGTATAAATATAATATAACCTCAAGAAAATCAGGCTAGAAAGATTTTTATGTTTGTGAAATAAATGGCTGCAAGGTATAGTATACCAAAATATTAACAGC